GCCTGGACTCATATGTTTAACCATCACGATGTTTCCTCTGCTGTGAAAATACTCACTCAGATCCCCGCCCCCAGTCTTTTCTGTGGTACATCCCCAGATCATATTTTTTCTTAGTGATTATATTTAAATGGTATTCTTGTACTGGTTATAACTTTTCCAATTTTGTGGGTGTTAAAATATGTACTTAATTTTAAATTTTAGTTCTTTTTTCTGGAGGGGGTCTTTTTAAGACAGGGTCTCCCTGTAGCCCCAGCTGACCTGGAACTCACTATGTAGACCAGGCTGGCCTTGAACTCACAGAGATCTGCCTTCCTGTGCCTCCCGAGTGCTGGGACTAAAGGCGTGCGCTACTGTGCCCGGCTTAAATTTTAGTTCTTAACTTTAATGTAATCAAAATAATCAGTCCCTGTTTTTACAGTAACCCTTATTATTATCTTATAACCGTTCTATTTTTAGCTTGTGCTTTAAAAAAAGTTGTTTAAATCAGGCGCGGTGGGGCATGCCTTTAATCCCAGCACTTGGGAGGCAGAGGCAGGCAGATTTCTGAAAGTTTGAGGCCAGCCTGGTCTACATAGTGAGTTCTAGGCCAGCTGGGGCTACAGGGAGACCCTGTCTCAAAAAGACCAAAGAAAAGTTGTTTAAATATACATAACATAGAATTTACCATTTAAACCATTTTAGGTTATAGTGACATTAAATGCATTCAAATTACTGTGCAACCATCACTGGTCTCCAGTTTCAGAATTGTTTTGTTCTTTTTTTAAGATTTATTTTTTTAAATCTTGTGTATGCGTGTGCCTCTATGTGTGTGTGTGCAGGTTCCCTTGGAGGCCATAGGCACAGGAATCCCTCTAGAGCTGGAGTTACAGTTGTAAGTCTCCTGACACTGGTGCTGGGAACCAAACTCAGGTCCTCTGCAAGATCAGCATGTGCTCTTAACTGTGGAGCCACCTTTCTAACCTCCTTTTGTTTTTATTTTCTTTTCCCCCTCTTTTTGAGATATGGTCTGTCAAGTCCTGACCAGCCGGCCGCCACCTCTTGGGCTCCAAGTTGCTGAGACTAAAGGTTCATGCTACTGTGCCCAAATCTTCATGTATTGTTTAAGGACCTCTGTGCTGCTCAAAGAGCATTAGGACCATGTGTATATTTGTTCTTAAGTCTTACTAGTTTGCTTTCCTAGAGTAGGTCTGTACTCATCTGAAATTGATGTTTGTATGTAATGTGAGGTAGAGATTAAAGTTCTCCTCCCATAGAGAGCCCATTGTTCTAGCGTCATGTAGAAATGGCCATCTTTTCTCCATTGACTTTCGCAGTGGATGTGTCAGAGACTGGGCTTCTTTACAAGTGTGGGACCACTTCTGGGCTTTCTATTCACTTAATTTGCTTATTCCTGTTTGAGTATTGCAATATTTTAAATGCTATGGGACTATAATAAATTTTCCATCTGCTTAAAATGCTTAGTCCAAAGACTAAGCATACAGGCTACATATCTAATTTTCTTCTTCCCTTTGCTTCCCAGTCGTTCCTAGCCAGGCTTTCCTGAATTTTAGTGCCTCCTCCAAGAACCACACATACTCCTCTGGTTAAATTTTCTCCTGCTTAGCATTTATCATCACACAGAAATGTATGAATTTATCTTGCTTCTCTTTCCCACTAGAATATAAGGTTTATGAGGGCAGGAATTTTTGGCTTTCATCACGTGTATCCCCAGAAAACACTCTCTGGTACTTCATAGGGCTCAATTGATATTTCTAGAACAAAACAAACTATGTTGCTATTTGGAAGGCTATTCCTCCCCCCCCCCCGTAATAACTCTTAAGCTCTCTGTTCTCTGCCCTTTACTGCTAGACTAATACAAGCAGTCTAAAGCAAAGAGAGAAAGAATGATTGCTTTTCAATTTCTTTCTTAGCCAAACTCTCAGAGGTGGGAAATGAAGTCAGGAGGGTGGAGGGAGCAGAGGCTGGCCAAGTTTGCCTTCAATTTTATGGGTCAGCTATTCTGATGAAAAGACTTCCCTCCTGCTTTGCATGACCAGCAGGGCTGTCAGGGCCCAGAGTTCATAGCATGTTCATTTTGCAAAGAAAATGACCATATCCATGGGTTGCAGGGCTATCCACCTTAAACTAGGGGAGAATGAACATGTACTTTGATTTACCAAGCCGTATGACAGACCATAAGACAGAAATCCCGAGTCAACGAAGGGTGAATGCCATGTAGGGTAGACTTTCTGTAACTGGAATTGTCCAGGACAGGAACTGAACTGAGCAGTGATGATTCATGGAAATTATGCTGCAAAAGGTTCTCTGTGCTTTATTGTAGGGAAACCGAGGAGCCAAGTCATTCTGGAAGGAATGTGTATGGAGTTTTCAGATGAGAACTTGAAGTTTTTTAGGTCAGCAGCACATATGATTCAAACCATCTGTTTAATGTGAAGCTGAACCCAGTACTTTACTCATACATCCTTCCAGTATTCATCAGTCCTGTTTCCTAAATATTTATTGAAGGCTCTTGGAGTCTAAGAGCTGGTGATAAATGACAAAGTCCGTTTTTTTAAATTACATTTACCAAAAATAAAATTGTGTTAATGTATATTTTCTGCCCTTTGTGAGGTCAGTGTAATTTCCTAAGACTCCTGTTTGCCAGGGTTGAGCATTAAATTAACCTGTTTTTGTTGATGAAATGAATACACAAAAGAGATCATTCACTGAAAATGGATACTGAAATGTACAAGATTATTGTGCATTTTTGCTTCTGTGCTATGGACATCTGTACTGCAATTTCCCCTGAATACACTTTCCACAATTGGACAGTGACCCAAACTGACAGAAAATAATTAAGATGCTGGAACAGCTGACAGACACAGGCTATTTTGTACCCATAGGAAATGGGCTTTTGGGGCTGGAGAGATGGCTCAGCCATTAAGAACACTGGTTGTTCTTGCAGAAGACCCAGGTTCAAATCCCAGCACCCACATGGCAGCAAACAACTGTCCGTAATTTCAGTCCCAGGGGATCTGACAGCCTCTTCTGACCACCGAAGGCATTGCACATGACACGGGTGCACTTACCTACATGAAGGCAATACACGGATACACATAAAATAAAAATAATAAATAAAAATTAAAGAAAAAAGAAAATGGGCTTTTAATGACAGAAAAGCAGCTATTATGTGACTTAGACTTTGGTAATGCCAAACATATTTTGTAGTTCTTTACGATATAGTATGTTATAAAGTGACATTAGTTACTTCATATTTTAATTCTGGAGACAACTTGGTAGGTACTTTAGGGATCACATAAAGGTATATATGAAGATAAATAAAAGGGGCTGTTCAAAAAAAGCTTAAAGTCAAGTAGACATGGGATTTTTAACCAGTCACAAGTGATGCTCATGAACCAGCTGAAACAATATACAAAATTGGTGCATGAGTGCATTTTTTTCCCTCAGGAAATAATTCATCACATTTTCTAGTAGTTAATGTTCCCCAAAGATTAAGAGGGATAGGACTTAGAAAAAAATAACACCACCATATAGGAATCACAAAGAACCCAGGCAGTGGGGTGTTAAATGAACTTAAGTGGTAACAATGAACACTTTTATTGTGAAGTATTTGCCAGTTTTGTAAAGGGAAATGTCATTGCCAGTAGCAGCAAACATTTTCATACTTTATCATTAATTATTTTGTGAGCCATATTTTCTCCATTTTGCAGTTTGTGTAAGAATTTCTCTCTAAGAAATTGAAATGATTCTTTGTATGCTGATAGTATTATCCTTTTGATGTTGTACTTATGGCAAACGTTGATAAAGGCAAAATAATTGTGAACTTGCTTAGATTCACAATTTTATAATTTTAGTTACAGCTTTAGATTTTTTTTTCTTTGTGATTTCATCTAAATTTCGCTGGTATCCACGTACTGTTCATGTAATTTATGGTTTGTGCTTCTGTTTTCTTTTTCCTGAAGGAAGTTCATATACTTCAGATGTCTTGGACTAGGTAATGTCAGTTCCTTGTAGCTCTACTACCATATTAGTGGAATCAGGACAGCTTGGTGACATCCACCATAGCTCTATTACTTGTCAGGCAATCTTTAGAAGTCACTATTCTTCAACGTCTGTATAAAATGGGCCTAAAACAGAACCTCCTTTAAGAGGATTGAGAATAAACGCTGACATTTAACCTGCTCAGAACGGGTTCTGGAACAAAGGACAGTTTAGTCCATCTTCAGGGGATACTTTGAAACTTGAAAAGTTATTTCAATACACCGCATTTCTGAAAACTTGACTGTTTCCAAGTACTCCTGATGCATTGAGTACCTCTGCCTCTTCCAGCCTTAAGGGAGATACGCCGCCTAGCGGCCGGGACTCCATCACCACAGGCAGTCTGGCTGCTTGACTCCAGCCCCCCACCATCCCGAGCCGCATCTCTGGTAAGTCCTGCAGATTCCTCCACGCCTGGGCTGCGAGGCCCCGCGGGAGGCGGGTAGAGCCCGCGACGTGGACCAGCGCCCGGGGGTATGCGCAAACTGACACTACTCGGCAGGGGTTTTCTCAGCTGCAACATGAGGCCGGAGGAAGCCCCTCCAGGAGGGAGCAGAGGGTCCCGGAGTGGTCCTTCGCATCTCCGCAGGCGTTGCATCTCTGCATCCCGCCCGGCAGGATTTCTGCAGGGGTTCCCGGAGTCTGCGGGCCTGCAGTGTGGACCTCTGCGTTAGCACCCAGCACCGAGTACCACCTGGGCAAACACCCACTCCACGCAGTGGGATGGGGGGAGGAGGTTAAATTCTGGAAAATAAACGAGCAAAGCCTCCACACAAGCCGGGCGTGGCGGCTCGGGTTGAACTCCCAGCACTTGAGAGTCTGAGGCAGGAGGATGGCTGTGAGTTCCAGGTTACAACTCCCGGAACCACAGCGGTGACCAAAGAGCTTGCACAGGGTAAGGGTGGGCAGAGCGGCGGGGGCGGGGATTCTGCACCGAACTTCCGCTTCCGGTCCTAAATGAAATCTCCCGCCACCGAGGAAGCGCTCTTGTCTACGCGGGTGTTTTCTCCAATTTGGGTGCTGGCAGGTAAAAGAACTCCAGTGGGCTGAGTTGGGACAGAAGGAATCGTGGGAAACAAAGGCTGCAGAAGACAGGTGCGGAAGACAGCTGATCTGTTTCCCAGAGTTGTAAGACAAGTAACTCTGATCCGGGTAGATGCTCTTCTCTGATTTCGGGACTGTAAACCTCATCTGGTCTTGGGGAACTGACAGACCTAGTGAGCAGGCGGTACCGCTTGACTTCTTTATTGGACGAGCGTCTGCATCTTCCCTAGCTTGTGCCCCCAGTCGTTTTCCCTCTGCCCCCTGGGTGTTGTAGGTGTGTTGTAGAAAATCTGAAAAACACGGAAAGACATCACCTACGTATAAAAAAATTTTTTTTATGTGTATGCGTGTATTGCCTGCATGTAGGTAAGTGCACCCATGTCGTGCAATGCCCATGGAGAACAGGAGAGGCTGTCGGATTCCCTGGAACTGGGTTAGGGACAGTTGTTAGATGCCGTGTGGGTGCTGGGATTCGAACCCGGGTCTTCTGCAAGAATAACCGGTGTTCTTAACCGCTGAGCCATCTCTCCAGCCTGGTATAATCACTTTTAACGTTCAGTGTATGACTTCAGTATGCTTTCTTTCTGTGAGTGTGGAATCTTTTCAAAAAAATTTTTATTATTTTTATTTTATGTGTATGTGTGTATTGCCTGCATGTATGTAAGTTCACCCATGTCGTGCAGTGTCTGAAGAGGACAGAAGAGGCTGTCGGATCCCCTGGAATTGGAGTTATGGACAGTTGTTAGCTGCTTTGTGGGTGCTGGGAATCGAACCCAGGTCTTCTGCAAGAACAGTTAGTGTTCTTAACCGCTGAGCCATCTCTCCAGCCCCTGTGGGATCTTTTTTAAAAAAATGTTTATTTAGCCAGGCATGGTGGTGCACACCTTTAATCCCAGCACTCAGGAGGCAGAAGCAGAGGCAGGTAGATCTCCATGAGTTCAAGGCTACCGTGGTCTACATAGTGAGTTCCAGGCCAGCCCCACCACAGGGAGACCCTGTCTCAAAAAGACCAAAAACATTTATTAAAATTTATTATTTTTATTTTATGTGTATGAGTGTAATGCCTGCATGTATGTAAATGTACCCATGTCTTGTGATACCCCAGAGGTCAGAGGAGGGCATTGGAGCCCCTGGAATTGGAGTTATAGGTGGTGGTTAGCCACCATGTGGGTGCTGGGAATCAAACCTGGGTCCTCTGTGAGAGCAGCCAGTGAGTGCTCTTAACCACTGAGCCATCTCTCCAGACCCGAAATCATTTTTTAAATGTGTGTCTCTGTTTTGTCATTCTTCAACACTATTTTCCATCACTTTATGTCCTTTCAAAAGGTGACCAAGATGGAGTTTTCAGGAAGACTGCGGAAGAAGTTGAGGTTGGCATGTGACCAGAAAAATGCTTGTTACCCTCACAGCCTCCAGTTTTACTTGCAGCCCCCCTCTGAGAACATATCTTTGATAGAGTTTGAAAACCTGGCTATTGATAGAGTTAAATGTAAGTGGCATTTGAATTAAGATGCGTATATTTTTGGAGAAGTACACATTTAGCTTGTAGGAATGAATGAGGGCAGTTTATCTCCATTCAGCAAATATTATTGAGAATCTGCTGTTGAGGGCTTGTTATTCATGTTTCACATTGTAAGATGTGTGATGTGTATTGATTCCCACTGCTTGGAGTGACAGAGAATTTGTGATGAAGAATGTAATCTACTCAGTGGAGACAGACATCTAGAGGAGATGTCATAAATCATGATTCCTTACTGCTTTGGTAGAAGTATAAAAGTGGGAGGAACAAGTGTAATCTAATTAAGTAAGGCTTCCTAGAGAGGTGGAAGAATGAGTAGGAAATTTCCAGTAGAAGGAATGAAGGGCCTTTCCAGGTTGAGATAAGGGTCTGTGCAAAGACGCGGAGGTATGAGAGAAAGCGATACTTTAGAGGGACAGTGACAAGTTCAGGGTGAATGGAGAAGTATGGGTAATGAAAGGCATATTATACCATGCTATTAGAGTATAAGAAGGATGTGGCCTTTGCCCTTCATATGTTGATGCAGAAGGAATGCGCTGGATGTGAACTGAGGCAAATATTCGCACTGTCTTCAGAGTTTATGTTCCAGGATATCCTCGTGACTTACCTCGTGGTAAAGTCAGGAGAGGGGAGATGGTGTTAAGCAGGGTAAGAGCTGTCAGTACAAGGAGGAGGCACTCATCACCTGTCAAATATGAGAGCAAAGGCAAGGGAAAAGGGCTCTAGAAAGCTTGGTATTGTCAGATGTTTCATAGGATTAAGATGATGATTGGAAGGTGTCCCTTGGCTTCATTACTTAAGAGGTGAAATGGAAGGGGCCCAATTAAGGTAGTGACAGTGGCAATGAGAAGGAGGGAGAGGCTGGAGGGACCCTACAGACGTGTTATTAACAGGATATGTGAGTGTTGGATGTGCAGAGTAAGGGAGCAGATGCAGGGTGGCTGAAGCGCTTGCTTGAGTAGAAACTTTGCTCATGGAGGTGGGTATGTCAGGAAGAGGAGTGGAATAAGAGGAAGGTCATTTGGTTTGGACCATAATAAGGTGGTTCCTTACTATAGTAAGGTAAACTCTGTGGGACACATGTTTATGTTTAGGAGGCAATGCAGAAATTTTCAGTCTTGAAAATTTTTTAAATTTATTTTTATTTTATGCATATGAGTGTTTTACCTGTATGTATGTAAGTGCACTAGGTGCATGCAATGACTGTGGAGGCCAGAAGAGAGTGTTAGATCTCTGGATTTGAAGTTAGGGACAGTTGTTAGCTGCCATGTGGGTGCTGGGAATTGAGCCCAGGTCCTCTGTAAGAGCAACCGGTGCTCTTAACTGCTGAGCTGTCTCTCTAGTCCAGATTTTCATTCTTGAATTCAGAAATCCATTTGGATGACCTGATGCTTCATGTTGCGCTTTTCCTGCTCTATCAGGAAAGGAAGCCCTGTTTGGCTGCTGCTGCTGTTTTTCTTTTTCATGATAAGTAGATTGCTATCCAGACAGCTCCATAAAGACTGCAGGGGAGGCTCACCCTGATACTCACTTCTCAGCAGTGGTAGCTCCGTACAGCAGGAAGGATCGTTGTCCTTCTTCCCTCTTCCCTGGTTGAGCATCTCTGGTGTTAGAGTATTTTGTGGAACATGCGTATTTTTGGCACATATATGGGGCTTGTCTGCTTATAAACATGTAATTCTTACAATGTATGTATAGAAAAGAAAGCTTAATATTGTGTTCTAAGAACAAGTAGTTAGAAAATTGCTATCCGTAGATTTATTTTGGATTTAGCTTTTTTCAAAAATTACCTTGGATTTATACTTCTTTTTCTTTTTTCCCTTAGTGCTAAAAGCAGTTGAAAATCTTGGGGTGAGCTATGTGAAAGGAACAGAACAATACCAGAATAAGTTAGAAGCTGAGATTCGAAAGCTCAAGTTTTCCTACAGAGTAAGTAAAAGAAGGAGGGAAAGAAAAGTCCCTTCAGTCTCTGTGTGTTTGTGTTACTGAGTATATGTTATGGGAACGGTCTGTTTTTGGGCACAGGACTTTTATAGACTAATGGAGTTTACACTGTGTGTGAATGTATCTATAGTCAATCTGCTGGGGTCATTGACATATAGGTAGATGATTATAATACAGCTGTTTCTACAGCCTTAGGACTATTATCTTTTGGGCCTATTAATTTCTTGTTGCAGTACTGCCTATATGTTGCAAGGCGCATAGTAGCACCAGCTTTTTACCCACTGTCTGGCTTGAGACATTACCGGTGCTTCCTGTGTTGTACAGGCTGATGAATGTTGTTATTCCATGTTTACATGGAGTTCTAAGAGCATGTACACTTATCCAGCTCAGAGTGGGGCAGTTTGGGAAGGCTTTTCAAAGGAGATGGTTCTGGAACTATGTTATTTTTCTTTAAGACAGGGGGTTGTTATGTAGTTTAAGCTGTCCTTGAACTTGCTGTGTGGCCCTGGTTGGCCTTGAACTCTTGATCCTCAGCCTCCCAAGTGCTGAGGTGATGGGTATGCACCACCACACATCTGGCTCCGTACTGGATCTCTACAGATACAATCATATTTTTATTTTGGGAGAATGAATGCCAACAGCAAGTTGGACAGGAGAGAACAGGAGCCTGAAGGTGATGAGAGTCTGAATTTAGGAGAGGTGGGGACTGACTGAAGTAATGTAGACTGAGAAGATTTTAGTGATTATTGCAAGGGGAAAGCAGAGAGAAAAGTTGGGACACCCAGACTTCTAGTTAGGACAGTGTTTAGTTACTTTTATTACTGGCGTGACAAAATACCTGGTAGAAACAACTTAAGGAAGGAGAGATTTTGGCTCACGGTTTTAGAAGTCACAGTTCATCATAGCAGTCAAAGGTTTGGCAGAGTTTATAATGGTGGCACCAAGAAGTTGGGGCTCCTCACTGCACTGTGGCAGACAGGAAGCACCACACAGGTCAGAACCAGAAGCTGGTATAGTCCTTATAGGTCTGTCCCTAGGAACCTACTTCAGTCAATGAGGCCCTATGTTCAAAGGTTCTACAGTGTCCAGAGTAGCACCACTGACTGGAGACCCAGTATTCAAACACTTGAGTCTGTGGGGACATTTCAGATCCAAACCATAACAGATTTGTTGGTATTGCTATTTTGAGATGTGACATACAGTAAGAGAAGCTAGTCTTGGGACTAAGATGTTGAGTTTTGTTCTAGACAAAACTTGAACTACGTATGACATTATCTTGTGGCTATCTGTGTATACAAATCTGGACTTAAAAAGCACCTTTTATGGGAGTGGAGGTTTCAGGGAAGATTGGAACCATTAAGAGTAAGTGAAAATTCTCTAGAAAAATAATTTGAGAAGATAATGGGGGACAGGATGTGAAGAACATCATTATTTAAGGTGAGTAGACTGGAGGAGTCTGGGAAGGAGCTAGAGAAGGAGCTTCATGGGAATTAGGAGATGAAGTTGGATAGTAGTGTCATAGGAACCAAGGAAGGCTGGAGTTTGAATGACGGCAGTCGTATTAACCATAACATAATAATGACAGCAGATGTTTTTATTATGCTTATTTTGTGCAAATTTGGCTGTAAGTATGTTAGTTATATTGATCCATGTAATTTGTCTTATGAGGTAGGTGCTATTATCCTTATTTTACAAAGGAGGAAACTGTTTACTTATATTCACTGATTATTTATTGATAGGCTAAGTAACTTACTCAAGTTCATAGGATGGTGAGTGGTGGAACCACCATTTTTAATTACGGCATTTTGTTTTTATGGTAGTATTTTTAAAATATATTTTTATTTATTATTTTTATTTTAAGTGTATGAGTGTATTGCCTGCATGTATGTGAGCGCACCCATGTCATGCAGATTT